TTGGCTTGTTTCATCTGCCAGTTGAAATGTTTGTAGAGACAAGTTGATGCTTGAAGCGGGAAGTCTCTTCCTTCATTAGCACAAGTGTAAGCACTTAATAACTGCTGGCAGAGTCCTAATCTTTAAAAACCCATTAAGCTAATTTCTTCCTCGTCACAGTCATCTTTAAAGTTGCTTAACTTCCGTACACAGCAAGTTTCACCACCTTTGCTTTCAAAAACCTTCCTCAAATCTCAAAAGCCCTCAACTGATCCGATGAGGAGATATGTTTGGGGCCAGAGAAGTTTTCAAACTCAGAGCTGCCTCTGAGATACGAGGGCCCACCCGTCCTGGCTTCCTGACACCTTTGGGGGGTGCTAATTAGGGTTGGCAATTAGCATTGGAGTGGAGGTGAAGGCCTGCTGCTCCCTGCGGGGTGCGCGGAGGGAAGATGAGCCACGCATCCCTTGGCAAGAGGGCCAATTTTGCATAGGAACTTGGAAGAACGGGGCGCGTGGTCCTCAGCCCCTCTTCCTTTTCTTTCCTGCCACTTCCAGCCTCGTCTGCCGTGAGTGCGAGGGGTTGTGCCCCAAGGAGTGTAAAGTGGGCACCAAAACCATTGACTCCACTCGGGCAGCCCGGGACCTGGCCGGCTGCACCCTCGTCGAGGGGAACCTGATTATTAACATCCGCCGGGGCGGTGAGTGCCGTCACTTCTGCTGATGCACTCCAGGGAGAAGGCTTGCATTCCCATCAGTGCCCCTATGACTCCAACCCTCCCCCCACTTGTGGCTACCTCTTGCTCACCGCCTGCCTCTCTTCTCCTCCTGCAGAAAATCTGGCCTCCACGTTGCAGAGCAGCCTCGGCCTGATTGAGACCATCACAGGCTTCCTGAAGATCAAGCACTCCTTTGCTCTCATCTCCCTGAGCTTCTTCAGGAACCTCAAACTGATCCGGGGGGACTCCATGGTGGATGGGTGAGTGGGGGCCAAATGAGCAGATGCTCGCCTGCTAGCGGAAGGAAGGGGCGCCCAGCATGGCAGCGGCGCCCTCCTCCAGCAGCCTTCTCTGCCCCATGGAGGGCTAGCGAGAAGTGCGGGGCTTGGCTGGAGAATCGGGTTGTGGGGGGGCAGGGGGCAGAGGCTGGGCTGGGGAAAGGCCTGACCCTGCAAGGCACTGCCTGAGCCCCCCACCTCCCGTGGCTTTGCCCCCAGGAACTACACCCTGTATGTGCTGGACAACCAGAACCTCCAGCAGCTGTGGGACTGGGGTCAGCACCGGCTGTCCATCCCTGTGGGGAAGATGTACTTTGCCTTTAACCCCAAGCTGTGCCTCTCGGAGATCTTCCGGATGGAGGAGGTCACGGGGACCAAGGGCAGGCAGAACAAGGCGGAGATCAACCCCCGGACGAATGGGGACCAAGCCTCTTGTGAGTTAGTGGGGAAGGCAGAAGCAGTCATTGGGGAGAGGAGGGGAGGGGAGGGGACCCAGAGATTTTACCCTGCTTCCTTTCAGGCCACAGTTAAGAAGCTCAGCTGTGACAGCAAAATCTCCATGCTGCTTCTCCCCCTTCCTCAGACGCTTTCTTAATGAAAACAGTTTTTACGATCCACTCCTTGCATAGATAGAAGCCTCACTTTGCTCTTTTTGGCTCACATTTCCCGCTGGCCTGGCTTTTGCCTTGCAGCCACTCTTATCCCCCCTTGTCCTTTTTGAGGGCCCCCTCTGAGTGGTTCCTTCCCCCTCTCAGGCAAGACCCAGACTCTCCGCTTTGTGTCCAACACCACTGAATCGGACCGCATCGTCCTCAAGTGGGAACGCTACCAGCCTCCTGAGTCCCGGGACCTCCTCAGCTTCATTGTCTACTACAAGGAATCGTAGGTGCTGGGGAGGGTCTTCCCCCAGGAATCCTCCCTATGGGAGGGGGCTTGGGGCCCCTCTGTGACCGAGGGCTTTGCAACACTCCCCCCAACTGAGGCAGGCCCAGACTCGCCCTGGTGGGGGCCAGGCTGCCCTCGCCTCCAGCTAACCCTGGTGTCCTCCCCGCAGCCCCTTCCAGAACGTGACAGAGTATGTTGGGCAGGACACCTGCGGGGCCAACAGCTGGAACGTCGTGGACGTGGAGCTTCCCCTGAGCAACGACCAGGAGCCGGGCGTGACGCTGCAGAACCTGAAGCCGTGGACGCAGTACGCCGTCTTTGTGCGGGCCATCACCCTCACCACCGCCGAAGAGAGGCGCAACTTCGGGGCCCAGAGCAAGGTGGTCTACGTCCGCACCCTGCCTGCAGGTGAGGGAGCAGAGGCACGAGGGGAGGGGCCCAAAGCGTGAACGTGGTGGGGAGGGAGTTCACTGACTCTCCGCCAAGTTGATCTCGCTGAAGGGCCATCTTGGAGCAAGAGCCCGCTCTCGGCTCTGGCAGCGGTAAAGACGAACGCATTTTGAACGACACTTGTAAAAGCCAAGAGTAAAGCATGCGGAGGAGAAGGGAGGCTGGGAAGGAGGAACGTGCAGTCCCGGACCGGGAGGGGCGAAGGGGCTAGATTCTGGCCCTTCTCCTTCCACCTCCCGGCTCCCACACTCCCCCCTGCTCTCCGACTGCAGCGCCCACGGTGCCACGAGAGGTCATCTCCATGTCCAACTCTTCCTCGCACCTCATTGTCCGGTGGAAGCCACCCTCGCAGCCCAACGGGAACCTCACCTACTATCTCGTGCTGTGGCAGCAGCTGGCCGAGGACTCGGAGCTCTTTGTCAACGACTACTGTCACAAAGGTGAGGCCTGGGGCCACTTTGGCACCTGGGGGCCAGCCCGACCCTCGGCTCACGGCCCGCTTTGTCTCCGCTTTGCTGCCCCCAGGGCTCCGTCTGCCCACCAGCAGTGCAGACACCCGCTTTGGCACGAGCGACAGGGAGAGGCACGAGGACCCGGAGGATGAGCAGTGCTGCCCCTGCCAGAGTCCCGTTGGGCACAGCCAGCCCAGCGTGGAGACCGTGTCTTTCCAGAAGAAGTTTGAGAACTTCCTCCACAATTCGATCATCCTGCCCAGGTGAGTCGAACTGGGCGGGCAGATTTCCTGCGCGGGGGCTAAGAAACAGAGGCTGGGAACTGGCTGGCTTTCTTGGTCTCCCTCTTTCCGCAGACCTCCCTGGAAAGTCACCTCCATCAACAAGATTTCTTCTTACCGGTAAGCTTAAGACCTTCTGGAAGACGGGGGCCCATGTTTGTCTTTGTGTGGAGGAAATTGGCTTTCCTATAAGGGGGGCAGCGGGCCCCTAGTCTTACAGAAATGCTCTTGGGTCTGCTTTGGGGTAAAGCATGCCCCCCTTCAAAGCAGCAGGGCTGCCCCTAACCTTTCTCTCCCTGGCTGCGACAGGGTCCCCAAAAGGCGCAGAGACACCCTTGCTGTGACAATGGCCAGCCAGGCCTTTCCCAATGCCTCCTCGCCTCCTCCAGGGAGCCCAAGCAACACAGCCACGGCCCACCGGGCTGAGTTCGACTCTAAAACAGAGAAGGACTTCCGCATCTTTGAGGATAAAGTCGTTCGGGACCGGACAGCAATTTCCAACCTGCGCCATTTCACTGAATATCGGATCGACATTCACGCCTGCAACCATGCAGCGCAGACCGTGGGGTGCAGCGCTGCGACCTTCGTCTTTGCTCGGACAATGCCGGAAGGTGAGCAAGAACGGCTTTGCTCTTTTCTTGTGAAAAGGAGAAAATTACCGAACGGGAGATAATTAACCTCAGAACAGTTCAAATTCAAGATCTCTCTTAGTCGCTGCCCTCCCTTTCACCGGTCATTGCAAAAAATGTCTCTCAGTTGTTGCAGCCTCACGGACGGGGAGAGTTGCTGTGCTCTGGGCTGGCCCAGATAGTTCAGGGGTCCTGCATGAGTTCCGAAAGAGGTGCAGAGGGCATGTGGTGCCCCTGGCACCAGCTAGATAGCCCCCTGGGCACAGGAGGCCTTCAGAACATCTTGAGGAACAGATGGGTGGCCCACTCATAGGGTGTCCTGGAAAGTCTTTGGTGGGACAGTGCAAAAGATTTGTGGAGGATAGACCACCACCACATATGCCCCCCCGCCCCCGCGGACAGCCATTTTCGCCTGCTCCCATCTCTTCCCAGCAGAGAAATTGCGGGAAGACTCCGGTTGCTAGTCCAGGGACACCCCTCCACCTTTCTAGCCTTTGCCCAACGGCTTTGCTCTTCTCCTGCCCAGCTCAAGCTGACAACATCCCAGGAAACCTGACCTGGGAGCCGGCCAGCAAAAACAGTGTCCTCCTCCGGTGGCAGGAGCCAAAGAACCCCAATGGCCTCATCCTGAAGTATGAGATCAAGTACAGCCGGGAGAGTGAGGTGAGGATTGCTGGTCGGGGGCAGGCTGGGACCCAGACAGCTTCTCGGCGTTGCTCCCCATGAGTGGCTCATCCTACCGTCTCTCAGCCTGGCGGATCCCCTCTCCAGAACTCTCAGCCCTGGCCCAGGTTGAGGGGACTCTGAGAGCTACAGCCTGGCACCGGGTGGATGCCACCCTGGGCAACTCTGACCAGCTACGAAGCAGCTTTGCTTCCTTGCAGAAAGTCATCTCTGTGGTCTGCGTGTCCCGCCATCGCTATGCCCGGTACGGGGGCTACCATCTCGCCCTCCTCCAGCCGGGAAATTACTCCGCTAAGGTTCGAGCCACCTCGCTAGCAGGAAATGGTTCCTGGACCAGCCTGATGAAGTTCTACATTCTTGGGGGAGGTGGGTGTCTCTTCTTAAGTCGCTTTTCTTCCTGGAGGACCTTGTGCTGGTAAAGGGGCACGAGATTGTTCCTCCCCAGGTCTCGTGAACCCAGCAGCCCCACGGAGGAATGCCAGGGGCCTTAGCTTACCAACATCCGCAGGGTCAAAGTGAGAAGATGCTAGGATATGTATTCATTCTTGCGTTCGCTTAAATCTGCCTCTCCTCTAACGAGGACGGGGCCCAGAGCAGCCTGCCTAGGGGACTTCAGCTCCCAGAATTCCCCAGCCAGATTGGCCGTGGCTGGGAATGCTGGGAATTTAAGTCCAGACATCTGGAAACTGGCCAGGTTGGAGAACATCAACATAAATGGTAGATGATAGATAGATAAATGGATGGATGGATGGATGGATGGATGGATGGATGGATGGATGGATGGATAGCTGTAGGGATATAAGTAAGAGAAAGGTAAGGCTTAGTATTAAATTCTTTAGTGGTTTTACTTTAGAAAATGATTGTGAACCATTTATAAATGAAATAGACCTTAGTAAAAAAAAAGGTTCAAGCACAAATAATTCTTCAACGTCTTTTAAATGCCCCCTCAAAAGACACACCCCTCCCCAGGGAAGGATAGAAAATCTTCCCCTTAAGTTTATTTCCATGACATTAGTAACAGACCGCAGACTGGCCAAATAGTTATGAAACTCGTCTGACGAGGCGGCTGGAAGTATGTTGTCAAACAGAGGGAAAAGTAACAACAGTGCAAAAGGTTTATTTGGCATTGCAAAAGGGAGCAGGAGAAAATATTGCCTAAATAGATTACTAGATGAGGCGGGGAGGAGGGAGCCGCTGCAGAGGGTGGGAAATCACGCGCAGTCGTGGCTCAGCCGAAGCGCTTTCCGGGGAAAAGCAAACGTTCCCACGGTTAGAGTGGTTTGTGTGTGTTTCTTCGTTTGTGATTCTCTTTGGTCAGTCGGGGTGCGATAATTACATTTCTCTCCCCCTTCCTCCCACCCCTCCTTTACGACCCCCCACCCCTTTCCAAGTAGAGGAAGAGGAACCCGGAAATTTTTACGTGTTCTTGACGCTCACCCCGGTGGTCCTGATGGTGGGGATCACGTGCCTGGCTGTCTTCGTTTTCTTGTACAACAGGAAAAGGTAGAGCCCGCCTGCTGGGCTTCGGGGATCGGGGGCCAGCGGTTACAAAGTTGGGCTGGGTTAAAAATAGGG